ATTGGCATATGCGTACATCTATATATTAATACGCTAACATGAATTTTGTCTCCGTTCGTTTGGCAATCCTACCGAACCGATTTCAAAACCAAGAACACCGTTGGAGAGGCATTTTTCCGTAGATGAGCAGAGTTTTTATGGTTTCACAATTGGTTGAAAATTACGGCCAAAACCGTCGTTTAAACATTTTCGAATTGTGTATGGTTGTTGCTGCAACCTGTTTAATTTGAGCTGTTTTCGCATTTTGTTTAACTTCGTATTTGAAAATAAACTTTGAAGTAAAGATAAATATGGAGATGAAGAAATAAATGATAACGATGAAGTCAAAAAAAGAAGCCAGAAGTGAAGATAAAGACGAAAATGGAGACAATGACAGAATTAAGAATTAAGAACTAAGAATTAGGGTAACTGAAAAGGTAAGGTTTCTTGAATTTATGAAGTGAAACTTCATTAGCGGCAGTTGGTTGGTTGGGAGTAAATTGTCAAATTCAAGGGGAATAATGCACATGGAAATGGTTCTCAGCGGTTTAGCGGTTTGAGAATAAAAACAAAAACAAAGATGCCTAGAGGTACAAGCAAAAAGGAAGATCAAAGTAAATTTAAACACTTTAAGGTAAAGGTGAAGAGGAATGTGCAAAAATAAAGATAAATATGAAGAAAAGGATGAGGATGAAGATCGATATTGTTATCGATAAAAAACTCGATATTTTTATCGATATAATAATCTGTATTACTATCGATAAAATAATCGATATTGTTGTCGATACTGTTATTGATTAAATAACTGAAATCGATATAATAATCAATATAATTATCGATATTGTTATCGATACAATAATGTATATTGTTATGGGTATAATAATCGATTAAATAATTGATTTTGTTATCGATTTAGTCTATTATATTTTTAACGATATGTACAATAATCGATACTGATGATTGTTATATTTATCGATGAATTAATCGATTCTACAATCATTGTATTTTTCTATATGTGTATGGATATTGTTATCGGTATTTTTATCAACACAGTTATCAACAGGGTTATCGACACACTAATCGGAACATGGAATGTGATCACATTACATGACATCACATGACATTTTATCACATATATGAGATATTACATCACATCACACGATATCACATGACATGATATTATATGATATGACATCACATTATATGGCATGACATCACATGACTTGACAGTACATGATATGACATCGTATGACATGACATGGCATTACATGACGTGGCATCACATGATATGACATCATATGACATGACATCAGAGGATATGACAACACATGACATGACATCCTATCACATCACATAAAATCACGTCACATCTTATCACGTCATCGCACCTCATCTCATCTACGTGAAGAGAAAAAGAAAAGGATATAAGCAAAGATGTGAAGAATAAAAACAAAGATTAAGGCCAAGGTAAAGTTACCAATTTCAAAACCAGAAACACCGTTGGAAAGTAATTTTTTGTAGATGAGGAGAGTTTTTGTAGTTTCGAAATTGGTTGAAAATCGTCGTTCAAAAATTTCCATATTTGTTAATGGGTGTTTTTGCAACCTGTTCAATTAAGCGTTTCGCATTTTGTTTTACTTCAAATTTGAAATTAAACTTCGAAATAAAGATAAATATGAAGATGAAGAACCAAGTGATAATGATGAAGACAAAAAAAAGGCAAAAGTGAAAATAAAGGCGAAAATTGAGATAAAGGCGAAAATGGTGACAATGAGAAATACATAAGAATCAGGTTAACAGAGCTGAAATTTTCCGATAGGAACCGAAATGAAATCAGCCATAAAGGTTACTGAAATTTATAGAATCATCGAAGTTTATAATTATCGAAATTTATCCATGCTTATTAAGTTATCGCAATGTATCGAATTATTCAAACTGATCAATGTTTACTGAGTTGTCGAAATTTATAGACACAGAAGTTTATTTGTCCAAATTTACGGATAGTTATCGAGCTATAAATCGTGTGGGATTAACGAAATTTGTCAAGTTAAAGAAATGTATCAAGTTATCGATATTTATTGAATTATCATTATTTATAGACTTAACAAAATATATCGAGGTGTCGTAATGCATGGAGTTCTTTCAACTTACAGAGTTATCGATAATTATTGATCTACTGAAATTGGTTGGTTCAACGAAGCGAAGTTTATGGAATTTTCAAAATATATCGATTTATCGAAATTTCAAGGTTATATAAGTTTATCGATTTATCACTGCTTATCGCATTTAATCGTCTTAACAGAGTGTAACGAGTTATCAAAATGTTTAGATAGTTTTCGAAAAATGTGGAGATGTCAAAAGTAAAAATTTATAAAGGTATCCAAAGTTTTTACATTTTTGAGCTATCTAAATTTATCGAGCCATCGAATTTCACATTTATCGAAATTGGTCGAGTTAGCGAATTTTGTTGAGTTATCGAATTTTAGAGTTCTTTAAATTCATCGAACTATCGATATGTATCAAATCATTGATATTTATCGATAAACTTGAATGTATCAGGTCAATTCCAAGTCCTGCCGAAGTCCTCCAAAGACTTTCTCAGATAAAAAAAAATTAGTTACGTTTTAGCAGAAGATTTTCCGGTTAGTTAATTTGTACCGTATAAGTTTTGCTGCGTGTTAAGTTAGAAATCCTCTCCAAGGCTTCTAAAACTGGAAAAACTGTCGAATTTCGACAGTAACTGGCACTCTAGTGCATACATAATATGTTAGTAGGTTTTGTTACTTCAGCGATTCGCTTTGAAAATATCGTTATTGCAGAAAAAATAATTGGAATGATTCATTCTAAATTTTTATAACACAGAACCCTTTCTTTAATGCGTAAGTACCATAGCGTTTATCATAACTATAGTCCTAGATAAGCTGACCACATATTGACAAGTTTCGGCTATTTAATTAAAATTATTATTTTTTCATAAAAAAAGTTCAATCTGTAAAAAAATCCACAATTTTTATCCAGAATGTTTCAAAAGTTTTGGATATGCAGTTTTATTTCTCAGTCAATTCCAGAAAAAAGAAGTGCAAGTTTAAATTGGCAAAATAATTCCACTGACAATTGGCTTTTTTTTTTAATAAAAAATGTTTCGAACATATTTCGGAATAAAACGTGTGAAATTTGATGAAATTTTGCTAATTTTTCTTAAAGTTTTTAGGTTTAAAATTTTTGTAAAAAATTGTTAACAAATTTTTTCAAAAAATAAATAAAATTAAAGAAACGTGTCAATATGTGGTCGTCGTGTAGTTAGGATAAGAACTATAGTAAGAATATTCATACAAAATTTTTCGAAAAAAAGTAAAATACTAATCGAAAAATTTTTGGCGATACATTTATGAATGAATTATGTATGCATACTACAGAGCTCCACAAAAAAAAAAAAAAAAAAACGTATTATTCTTGTTACCGGACCATTATTTTTATATGTTTTTTTGATCACTGAATCAAAATCCGATGTCCGTTTAACTCTATCACATCAAGGTTTTTCATAGCATTTTATTGATTTTTCCGGGAGTGGGATGACAGAGTTGAAAAAACCTAGACATGATGAGGTTGAATGGACGTCGGATTTTGATTCAGTGATCAAAAAAACATATAAAAATAATGGTCTGGTTACAGAAAGAATTTATTTATTTTTTTTTTATGGAGCTGCGTTATCGATATAATTTTAATCGATATTATTATCGATTTATTCAATGATAAACTTATTGGCATCTTCGCTTTCCATAGCTAAGCTATGCTATCAGCTTCGTACCCTTTGTTATCCATATTTATCGATGCCGATATTTATTGTTTTATACTACTACTACTATATAATTTCAAAAGTCCAGCAGTAAAAACTCCTGCTTACAAAAACATGTTCTCCATTTTCATTTTTTATTTTTACATTTCCCATTTTCAAATGCATAAAAAAGCACTTTCCACCAGTCTCTAGCAACCGTTTGCCTTTAGGTGACAACGCGAATGCACGGCAAATTTTTAAAACGATAACAAGGATTTAACAATGTAAACTCTGAAGCCGCAATTATTTTAACTATGCGCAAAAAAAAAATGTGATAAATTAAAAATAACAAAGCGTAGCGAAAAAAGTCAAACAGCAGGAAAATCGCACTACTTTGCTCTGTGGGCAGAAAAATGACAAAAAAAGTGGAAGTTGAAAATTACAAAAAAAATACACATTTACGCTCTTAGCAATTAAAAACTATTAATCAAATTATGTTGGTTTGTGGTAGTAGCGCTTTTGGCTACTGGCAATAAAATAATTAGTTAAATCCTTAAAAAGAAAATAATTGCGAGAACAGTTTTGTGCGCTGTCATTTTGAAATTTACAGTAACTGAATTAGCTGAGCTGAGTGCTAAAAAATTACTTAAGCGGAAATTCAGTGAGGGAAATTTGTTATTGTGGATCAGGAGAATATTCATTTTGTTTTGGCCTGGATGATGTTGCTACATACAAATCAATAAAGCTAACATGAAATTTTAATAGATATGGCATTCAATACTCATAGTACAAGACTATTGTTCAAATCTTTTCATTGAAATTTTATGCTAATTATTTGCTGAATTAATTTAATTATAATTTCTTTTAGTAAGCTCCGGTGAAAAGATCCTTCGAATCGCCATAGAAGGGTGCACAACGAAAGCAAGAGCGCTTATTCCCTGCTAGCATTTATTATCGCGGAAGTAACTTCAAGAAGGTAAATTTCATCGCGGAAGTTATCGCTTTCTCATCTTTTTACTATCCTCCTTCGGGAAAAACTGTTCCCCGTAAGCGTTACGTCCACACTGACACACATGCGACACTACAGGAAGTGACTTCTTAATGTCGTCTGGAAGAGACAAAAGCGGTACACCCAAACATACTCGCATACGACGCTTCCGAAAGTAACTTCTTAGTGTCTTAGTGGGAGACAGATTTAATTAATGTAAAAAATTGCAAATATATTTGCTTAATTTTTTTAACTTTTATTAACATTAAAAACAACAAAAACAGTTTGTTTAAATTATTCAGTTAAGTATAATTTGGTAACATTATTTCGTTAAGTATAGGAGTTAAGGAATTAATTGGAGAGGCGTAAATTGCCGCGTGTATTTTCATTTGAATGTTTCCATTTGAGCACTCTATCCCTGGCGTGTAAGAAATGTTGTTGCACAATTTTATTTATTTGAAAATCTGTCGAATTTTGGAACTTGGAGTGACAAACATCTGAGAAAAATAAGAAAATGAATCTTAGTTAATATAAGCATTGCTAATTACATACATATATTATATTAAACCTTTTATGATGGAAAAAACTGCAAAGTTTCGTATGCTTGGCTTCTCCGATGTCCCACGCCAAGTTAAATTAATCGCCAACTTATAAGACACAATTGCTTTAACGCTAAACGGACTTATAATCGCCAACGTGCTGTACCGCTTTCAATATGTATGTGACTATTTATTTATTTATATAACATCAAATTTCTGAGTTGACGAATTTAAGAGCATTGTCTGCTAAATGTATGTAACACTTGTAATAAAAAAATTTTTGTGCTGAATTTTTTTTTTGATTTTTATTTCGCCGTTAACTAGACAAACCAGAAATTGTCTTCTTTTTGCACGATAAGAAGTTAAGAACGCGATAGTAGTGCATTTTGTTTTTGTAAAATATGGACCATCTTTCAACTAACGTTTAGAAGTGCCTCAGAGGTTACTTCTTTGGTATTGACGAGAAAACGATCTTCTAAATGCTGGCAGGGTTAATTCAATGGAAGCACCCAGTGTAGAAGAGCCTAACCTGTCTGCCATCGGGATGAACAACAGGCGAAGAAACTTTTCTAAGCAGGGATGCATGGCGAATTTTTCCTTAGTTTTCTCGAGATTCCTAGCGATTGTGTTGAAATTTTTTAAAGAAATATTTGAGTTTGTCGAGATGTTGTGAAACGCTCTGTGAACTTTTATTTTCTTTTTTACGATTATTTTTGCTTTTGAGTAAGTGAAAAATAATTGTAAAAAATCGTCTGTTCTTTTTGATTGAACTTTGAATGACATGTGAAAGGCACAACCAGAAAAGGGGGTTTCTACTTTAAAATAACTAAGCAAATAGTTAATGAAAATGTTCTGCTTCCCACTAAACAAATACATCCCCAGCTACGTCCCTGTTTAGCCGTTAGTTGGAAAATGTGTTCATCTAAAGATTTTGATGAGCACTGTCCCTCAAAATTCATAAAGCTGCAGCTGAAATCCCTCAAAAAAAAAAATAAAACTAAAAATCTGTGAAGTCTATAAACACATCACTTTGTTAACGACCTACAAGCACACTTTACCCAATCTTGGCTGCAGTTTTTATAGAACATTTTCATTTTCTTCATTTTATTGTTTTAATTTCATTCCTATTTTCCCCCAGCCATTTCCGATTTTTCCCGACACACCACGCAAAACTCTAATCTCTCGGAAGTAAACAAAGGCTATCGAGCGAAACAAAAAAACTTAACAAAGAAATTACAATGTAAAGTTATAATGAAATGAAGCCAAAGCAAACACAAAGCCAAGTGGCAAGAAAAAACAACAACAAAGCAACGAGTAGAGATAATATAAAAATGAAATCCGAACAATGAAGAGCGAGCAATGAATTGAGGCAGAATCGAATGCGTACAACGCAGCCACGCGCCGCACACAAGCGCTAAGAGCAGCCGAGCAGCCGAGCAGCAGCGCAGCAGGGAAGTAGGCGCGCGGGTGTTGTTCATTGGATTTTGTCGGCAACACTGTTGTGTAGTTGAATCAAAGTAAGTGTCTGTTGCATTGTTGTGTTTATTGTAGCGTCTGTCGGGCGCGTTATTGTTGGCTTTATAACTGGTACTGCTGCTGCGTTTATCGTTAGCACAACGAGGGGATCGGCATTGCCGTTAATAGTACTTCTCATTTCACCCGTTCCTTCTTTACGCTTTGCTACAAATTTTCAAACGGAACAGACCACCAACTGACTCTACAATAATAGCAAAGCAAAAAAAAAAAAAAAAAAAAATCTACCCGCAACTGATACGAAATAATAACAATTAACAACAATAATAACAACAACAACAACAGCCAAGAAACAATAACAACAATAGCGTGTAATGTGTGTTTATTATTTGTGGGCGTTGAAATTGATGACCCAAAATATTATGCGCGACAGCACGAATTTACAGTCGCCACAAAGCGCACACAAGCGCAGTAGCCACCTACACACTTACAAAAACGAAAAGTGGGGAAAGTGGTTGAGCTGAGCGGATGGTCGATAGCTGATAGCTGATAGTGGATCGCAGCTTACAATAGAGTACAAAAGAATCGACGGAATATAAAAGCAAAGTCTACGAACGCAGTAATAGAGTTAGGAAGCGAGTAATACGTGGTGAGGCAAGCAGACGCGATTATTTATAGACATTGTTTTTCGCCGCTTTACTCCTTCTACTTCTACTTCTTCATCTTCATCTATTTCTTGCCTTATCTTCAGTGGTGCTGCTTGGTGACTTCATTAATATGCCGCTTATCTAGTCGCATCTTGTTCATCTACTTTCGCACTTGCGCTGCCGCAGGCATTAATACATATTTGCTTTTGTTGTCGCTTCTCGACTTATTTATTGTATTTTGTAGTGGGTGACGCATCGCCAATTGGTCCGAAATGATTAAGTTGTTTGAACTCAATCGAAAGCGGTCAGATAAGCTGCATATAAATTAAGTGGAAGTGGGTCAATTTTTCTTCACTTGGCGGCAAAAGATGCCGAAAAGAGCTTAAATTTACTGAGCTCGAAGTAAACGCTATAAAACTTGTATTATAATTTAGCTGAGCATTTTTTAATGAGAGCCATAATATTTACTATTGATCAATCAAATCAACCCAGTAAATAAATTTTATGAGGCGCCACCCAAGCGCGAATAATGCTAATCTGAACTCAATACAAGCACTTTGATAAAAAAGAAAAAATCGCTAAGAAAGTATTTGGAAACTACTGTTTTGGATTAAATTTGAAAAAATATTAATTTATGAAAAGCAAAAAGAATCTGCAAACTATAAACTTACGGCCTCTTTTTAAAGTAATATCTTCATATAAATTTTTAATTTATAAAACAGTTAAACGCTTCCTTATTTTTTGTGGATTTGGGCATTAAAATACTACCAGTTGAGTTGGCATTTTTGCGGAAAATTTAGTTGCTTATTTGTTGTTATGTTTTTATGCATTCATAAAATAAAATTTAAAAGTATATTCGAGTCTGTAAATTCTCAAAAAAATACAACTAAACGCAAAAAGCTATAAGAACACTGAAAACCCAGAATCAACCCGAACAGTTCCAAAAAAATTGCTATTTGTCTTACAAAAAATCCTGAAAAAAATGTGATCACGAAAAAATACCCAGAACATCTCTAAATCTTAAAAAAAGGAAAAATTTGAAACGGAAAATTTTAAATAATCCGGAAAAATCACGACTTAAATTCAAAAAATTATAAAATATAATCGAAATTTCCGAAAAATGCGAAAAATAAAAACATAAACTGAAATTCTGCAATAAACGCGAAAATCTCAAAATATGAAGATTTACGTCTGAAGCAAAAAATTGCCAAAAAAAAATTATACAAAGTCACGAATCGAACGCAAAGATCCATAAAACAAATACATAGAGATCCGAAAAAATCTATGAAAAACCCTGAAAAGTCCCGAAAACATGTCGGCAGGTAAAACCCTAAGGAAGTACGAAATTCTATAAAAAACTAAAAAAAAACACTAAAATAAAGTTTAGAAAGATTTTGAAATTCAACTTTGACTCTATCTTTGGGGCTAAAAGTTACCAAAAAATCATTAAATATATACGAAAATTCGTAATAAAAATACCAAAAATTTCAAAACACTTAAATAATTCGAAAAAAAATACGATGATCCAAAGAAGAATGGGCATTACAGGAATACTTAATGCTAGAAACAACCCGAAAATCTGTAAATAGTCCTAAAAAAGTTTAAAAAACTTTTGAAAAAAACCCGTAAGAATCTGTAAAATTCTCAAAACCTCACTTAATTTCGATACTGCAAATTTCAGAAAAACCAAAATAAAATTCATTTTCATTAACATTTATAGAAAAAGTATTTTTTAACCGACTTCAATTCTTATATAAAAAAATTAAGATTACCGTTCATTTCTTCATGATCCCAATGATCGGATCTAAACTTAATTAATATGGGACCACCTTTCAGGTACCACTTTATTTAAAAAAAAAGAATTATAGAAATCGGTTTGACGTGGTCCAAAGTTATGCGGTAAAATACATAAAACAAAAATATTCCGTCGAATTGAAAACCTCCTCCTTTTTTTCTTGAAGTCGATACTGAAGCTTTAAGCGCGCGTTTGGACCAAATTTTGGAAACGCTCTCCTTTTTTATAAGGCGAGTTTCATGTTCTGGCACCACTTCTCTTCTAAGAACCTAAGAAGTGGCTTCGTTCCAAGATCGCCTCACTCGAGATCTATTGAAGGAAGATTCTGTCGCATTGCTACTGAAAAAAAATTTATTTTGGTTACCCCGTCTCAATAGTTGCCTAAACCAAAAATTTAATGGTAAATAATTTTATTAGAAGTCATATTTGGCAAGTTCAGTTAGAAGTCCCTTGAACAGTTTTGAAGAAAATATTACTTTTTGCTATTTTGTGAAATTTTCTGACCTACGTGTTTATGTTTTGTATGCATTAGAAAAAACTAATAATTCACGATTTTTCCGCTTTTCATAGATCTTGCCGGATTTCTTGTGGTTTACTGAATCCAGTTGTGATCGTACCAGCAGAAGTGATACCCAAAAGAGATCATCATGTCAGCTTTCGACGGTTTTTAAGTCAAAGATCTGGGCAAGTAAGTATTTACGGAATCTTGTAGCCGTGTAAAAAAAAAATGGATGCATTACAATACACCTGGGACCAAGCTGAGATCAAGGAATAGTTAAAGCACAGAACTTCTCTAGATGAAATGCGCCCCCGTACAAGGTCATCACGAAAGTAAACCAATCACCAGAAAATTTTCTTTCTGAGCTGCTGGACAGATTGGCCATTGATTTGGAGCTGTATTTCGTATAGAAAAAACTGCTCATCCACCAAAGCAATGTACGTTTGCACACATGGACACTCACAAGGCAAAATTGCAAGAACCAAATATGTGACGAATCACCCGTATAAGGCTAAGTTAGAGTGAAAAGTCGCCAATACCAATTTTTACAAATTTTTATTTTGCTGAATATAAGAAAACGAGAAAAATTAAAACAAGTACCTTGAATTTTCATTTAAGCCTTCAATAAAAACAATTCACCATTTTTGCCTTGACAAATATGTATGTATGCATTTCATTTCAATGACAAACAATTTGCGCCAACAGCACTCAATTTATCCAAAAAATAATTAACTCGCTAGTAATCAATTTTAGT